AGAGTGTCATTGGTGTTCCCTGTTTCTCTTCTGCCCTTCTTTGAAGCATCATGTATTTATTTTACTATCTGCTAAAGTATTTATCCAATCAGCCCATATTCAGTGGTACAGATGACAGGGGAAGGGATGAAGCAATTTATTATGCACTGCACAGTAATTCCCATTCATGGCCAAATTTAGAATCTTTAATTCAGTTTGTGTCACTTTGGGGTAGTTCATATGTTGGTTATACACATTCTTTCAGAAATAGCAATATTTTATTGTCTGAATATTATATACAGGTATATTATTAATACCTGGAACTTTTTGTCCACTGGTATTAGGAGGGCAGAGGGAGTAACAGCATGGATTGTCTGGAATATTTACCTCCTAATGAGTTGATCATGGTGCCTAGTATCTTTTAAGTTACATGCTTTCATTTCATGAAAGCTTTTATTGGCACAACCAGTTGGTTCAATTTGAAAAATTAACATTTAGTTCAGTTATTAGGCAGTGCAATTTGTTTTTATTAGAATTTTTCTAAAAAGATCAGACCTTACATGGTCCATGATTTACAGATATTAACATTCTTATTTTTACTTACTTGTCTAGGTTCTGAGATGAATCTTGAAATTTAAATCATGCATTCTATCTGATTATACTGTCTGGTGTCCTTGGTTGAGTAAGAACTGGGAGACCAGGAAGGACAGTAATGCTTCGGATGTTTTACTGACCCTTGGATTGAGCCTGTGCAATAATGCAGTAGAAGTTTCCTCTCTTTCCAATGTCCTGATAGGATTTTTTTTTCTGATAGGATTTTGATGGTCCTTGTCTTCGAATGTAGAGTGACTTTATAGAGCCATCTAGTGGGTAATAAAGTTTCTAGAGCATCAAAGCCGGCTTGGAGGGCTGAGTTCTCTCTTTAGGTCTTGAGTGATTTTACTGTGCCATCTAGTGGATAGCAGTGAATCACCCCGTCTTCAGATCTGCTCCCCCCTGCATTTCAAGGAGAGTTAACCACAGATATTCTAAGTGTACTTTTAACCAACTGGTTATAATGTAGATTTTGTTAATGGAAGATGTGCACTTTTAAAGTAAAGGGGAAGATTATGTCCACTCTTCAACATTTTCTAAAAGCATTGAGAAGCAAAGTAAAGCATATCCATTAATACACAGTAGATGAAAATGGTAAAACATTTTTGCAAGTGTAAGTAATGTTTGCCTTTATTCTTTTAAGTGGTTAAAAACTCCATAATAAATTAATTTGCACTCCATTGGCTCCATTTTATCTTTTCTAGATTTTCTTGTTTATAAGTTAGAAGCTCAAGAAACACTAAATAAAGGAAGGGTAAGTTTTTTGCTATTTTTTTTTTCTTAATTTGTTTTCATGAAACTTGAGGGAGAAATATACTTTCAAAATCTTTTCCCTGTTGCTCACCAGGATTATAGGACTGAAATACATTTTTTAAAAAATTTTTGCTGCCAAAAAAAACATTAAGAGGAAGAGATTAGAGTTGTCCTTTTAAAACTTACCTTTTCTTACCATATTATTGGACAATACTGATATATTGGCAAAGCTTCAATGCTCAACAGTTAAGAAAAATTTTAATCATTTATTTACTCATTTCTAGTCAAGCTTCTTTCCAGTAGAATGTAGTTATTGTGGCTTGTCATTTGCACATGTAACATCTAACCCTGGGTTGGGCATTTACAATCATTTGTGGGATGAATGAATTAATGAATAAACGCTATTGGCACTTCAGTTTTTTTAAAGTTTATTTCATTTCTTCCATGAGAAAGAGACGCTGGAGGAAGGGGGAAGAAGGGCTGAACCAACTAGGACCAGGGCTCACAAGCTCAGCATGGCTTAAGGGAGGGAAGACAAGGGGCAGATTCCCCCTGAATGTCAGTGGGTAAAGAATTCTACACACATGATCTTATTCCATGGAGACTTTTCACAGACTGAGAAACTGAGGGAGAATAAGGAACTTGCTAAGAGCAAAGATTTCATGAAGGAGCCGAGCCAGGGCGGACCGTGAGCCTGAGTCTGGGGCTGATCTCTGCTGTGAGCACCATGTTCCAGCAGCATCTCTTGGTGCCCAGCAGAGCGTCTTCACACCGACGTCCTCCACAGTCCCACCGTCCTGGGCAGCCATAGCCATCAGCGTGCGAGACACCTGGTGGCACAGCGCGGCCCAGGCTAGGCCGTCTGACTTCCACCCATCTCCTTAGCCGGTGCCAGTGCGGGTACACTCTT